AGGAAAATCCTGGTGGTGGTGTTTAAGTGTCTCCAGTTTTCTTAAGACTTCTGAAATAACTCCCCCACCTCATTCATGTCCCTTCCAGAAAGAGTCACAGATATTTCCTCCCACGACCGGGGGTGCTGAGGTCATGTGCCGGGACCTGGCGGTGCCTCTGCTGGGCAGAGTGCCTCTGGATCCACACATAGGTGGGTGAGTGGGCCAGGCATGGGGGAGGGAGTATGGGTGCCTGCTCCCACCCTGCCATTGTGGGGGGAAGCAGCAGGAGCTACAGACTGAGAAAGGGGAGGATGGTTCCTTGGGGAGAGCGGGGCAGGGTCTGGTGAGGGGACTGGAAGGGGCGGGCAGGCAGAGGGAGAGAGGGGGCTGAAACACTGATGCCTCGGGAGAGTGTCCCCAGCTGGGAGCTGGTCAGTGCTGTCACAGCCACAAGGCTGGAGGGTCTGGGATGGGTGACCACCACAGCTGTGGCCCTGTCACTCCTAAGCAGAGTGGAGCATGACAAGCACACAGGCTTCAACCTCAAGCTGTGGATTCCGGTGCATCCCCTGGCCCAGGCTCTGATGTTCAATGCCCTGGCCTCAGATCCCTACCCCTCACACTAGTGTGAGCATGGGTGAGCCATTTCACCTTGCTAAGCCTTTACGACTTGGTCTGTAAAACAGGACAGCTGGCTACTGTGAAGTGGCCGCAAAGCTCAGATAAGAGGACGCTGGGGACCTGCCGGAGCACTCTCCTAGCTCCGCCTACCCAGTTGTGGGGGCTGCAGCAGAGGAGAGGGAGCCTGGAAAGTAATGAGAACACAGCCCTATGTCAGGGAGGGAAGCCCAAACATGCAGAGGATCCCAGGACAAGGGAGCCAGCTTACATGATTCCGAGGTTTCCCTAACAGGGTCTGCGTGGGCCCTGTGGCCCCCAGCCCAACTGTTTCCACTTGGCCAGCAGCTTCCTCACAGGTTCCTCCCCAGATCTGTTTCCCATCCATCAGAGCAAACACAGCCTGGGAGTCAAGGGCAGCCTCAGTCCACCTGACAGGGTCAACAGGCAGCAGTGGACAGGGTACCAGGTGGCCCCGTGCTCAGGCCCAGTGGTACAGGGGATCAACCTGGGGCTGAGGGTTGGCAGAGCAGATGAAAGGTGACACCGCCAAACATGCCCATCAGGACCACTGGGTGTCAGCAGAGGGTGGGAGCCAAGAGCCATACAGTTGTGAAAGACAGACTGTCTGGTTGGTGTCCACGTGGATGGCCCTGAGATAAAAGCATCCCTGCAGAGGAACGTGCTGTCTACTGCCTTTCGTATTTTTAAGTGCATGTGTTTGTGTGTATGTGCCACATTTATATACACAGGACCAACACTGCCCGACTCAGCCATTTTTGGACTTAGGTTTCTTGATTCATCCTTTTCGAGATAGAGAGCTCCCATCTGCTGGTTCATTCCCTAAATGTCCACAACAGCTAGGACTGAACTGGGCCAAAGCCAAGACTCAGGAGCACAATTCAGGTTTCCCACACAGGTGGCAGGAACCCAGTGGCCAGAGCCACCCCCTCTGCCTCCCGGGTGTGCACAAACAGGAGCTGGGGTTGGCCACTGAGCCCAAGCACTCCCGCATGGCACCTGGCATCTTCAACAGAGTCTTCATGGTTAGCCCAACTCTCCCAGTCCCCGCCACCAAGATTTCCTCTACCACACAGACTCACCACCTTCTTTACTCAGACCCAGAGAACCCCCTAAAATGCACGCTCCTGGGGGCTCTGGGACCTGCCTGGGCCACACACCACCCACATGATCTGTGGTCATGCATGGGCACGCCAGCTGGGAGCCCTGCCAGGCCGCTAGGACCCAGCTGAGGCCTTGGAGAACCACTGCCAGCCCCCATGCCACCGTTCCTCCTGTGCTCTGTGCCATCTCATGACGGGTCACCTTCAGGTCCTGTCATGGTCGATGCAGGAAGAGCCCCCAGACCTCCTTCCACTGTGTTTGCTCACGGACTTGATTTCTCTCCTGTCTCTCTAAGGCAAGAGCTGTGACAAAGGCCAGTCTTTCTTTACTGATGCGCCAGACTCCCCTGCCACGCTAGCCTACCGAAGTATAATTCACAGTAAGTGCACATGAGAGCCCGGGGAGCGCAGCCGCCTCCGGGCCGGGCAGTGACCCGGGGTGGAGAGCTGCGTCATCCCTGCCAGCCTCAGAAGCAGTCACACTGCTGGGGATCTGGAACAAGCACCAAGAGGCCTGGGCAGGATCACCTGACACATCAATATTGTGAACAAACTCAGTTGTAAAGATATGAAAAAGGAAATGCAGTGAAGCTATATAAAAATGGATTTTAAAAACCACCAGGGCAAGCCAGCCCATGCTGGTATGCAGGCGGCCATCAGAGCCTGGTGTAAGGCAAGGGGCCAGCAGTTACACCACGGTGCCCTGACATGTGGCTGGGCTCTATGTGCTTGGTGCAGTGGCACCAGAGTATGCAGAGTGGGCCCAGGATTCTCCGTTTATAGACAAGACTATAACAAGGCCTCCTGCCATCAGCTGTGACTGCAGTGGGTAGTGTGCAGTATATTCAGGTCATGGTCAAAGGTTCAGGCATCTTTGGGACAGAGCTCATTATGGGATTAGGCTATGGTGCCACCCTCATCCCCCCATCCAGTCAGCATGCAGCATCCCCTGCCCTGGCAAGGCTGCCTGGGGTCTGACACTCTGCCCCATCCGCCTTGTCTGTCAGGAATCCAGGAGTTTTGTGGTCTCCCTCGGTCAAAGGAAGAGGAACCCATCAGTTGCTGAGACAAGAGAGGGCTGCAGGCCAGAGCCATGGAGCTGAGGGACTTGCCGCCAGCCTGTCCAGCCTCATCTGACCAGCAGGGCACAGGACCAGGTGGGGCTGCGGGCAGAGAGGGACCAGAGCTTGGCGTGATTTCACGCCCATGGAGCTGCTCGATGCCTGTCTGCTTCTCTCTCTAAATTCAGGCCAAGGGCTTCTCTGATTGATGTGTGTTTGTGAAATAAAAGTGCTTCCTTGCTACCTCCTGGAGCCTGCCTTCCACACCCGGGCATCTGTGTGGACGTGGGGTTCATCCACACATGTGGGGCCCGCATGGATGCACAGCCATCTAAGTTGTTCCTGCCTCTGAGGAGGACCAGGCCTGGCAGAGCACTAGAGGGGACACAGGTGGCTTCATGGCAGGGGACAGGGCCACGTCCCCAGCTGGGAAATTGCATTGGGGTGAGCCCCAGGCCAGGGGTCCTCGTGAGATGGGGAACACTGCCCAGTTCTTGGTAGATAGTCACCCAGACCAGGCTGACTGTTCAGTGTGTGCAGAGGGGGCTAGCATCATGCACAGAAAGATAATAGCTCCACAGTTGTCACCATGGTGATGTGAGGCGGAGTTTATCTATGTCAGATACACACACAGGAACTGAGACCAGCTGAGGGAAGCACAGATTGCTGTCCTCCATCCCGCTCTGCGTGTAGAAGTAGAAGGCTGGGCAAATCCCTTAGGTCTCTCCCTCCCACCCCTCATTCCCCCTCTGTCCCCCTTGGGCCAGCACACGTGGGTCAGATCTGCCTGTGGTCACACCCCGCTCCAGAGTGCCTGGACAGAGCCCCGGGGCAGCCCCCACCCGGCCACCTCAGGGCCCTTGGGGAAGCACAGCAGGGCTGGGACACACCCTTCCCACAAGCTCCCGTGCCCCACCAGGCCAGGCCTCTGAAGTCCCTAGGGCAGGCCTGCAAGGAGATGGGGCTGCGAGGTAGGGGGACTGGCCATGGCTTCCTGTCCTGGAGCTCAAGGCAGGCTGCTCTGGCCAACTGCAGCTAGGCAGGCCACCGGGGCAGGAGGCCTGTTCACAGCAGCACTGCCCAATCCCACTGGGCTCACACAATGCAGGAGGAGCCTGGGCAACACTGAGGGCTCATCAGCTTTCTACCTCCAGAAACACCTGCTACATTAAATGAAAATTGATCTTTTCCTCAATTCCATATAAATATGTATATTTTAATCACTTGAAACTGGGGCCAGCATTATATCATAGCCAACTAACCCTCTGCCTGTTGCACCAGCATCCCATGTGGATGTTGGCTGGAGTTCCAACCACTCCATCTCTGATCCAGCTCCCTGCTAATGGCCTGGGAAAGCAGCAGAGGATGGCCCAGGGCCTTGGGCCCCTGAGCCCACATAGGAGATATCGAAGAAGCCCCTGGCTCCCAACTTCAGAACAGCTCAACTCTGGCCATTGTAACCATTTGGGGAGTGAACCAGTACCTGGAAGAACTCTATCCATGTCCCCAACTTTGAAGTAAAAATAAATCAGTTAAAAAACAAAACAAAAAAACAAACTTCAAATGAAGGTGTTGGCGTTGCAGTGTGTGAGTAAAGCTGCTGCCTGCAATACTAGCATCCCATTTGGACACCAGTTCAAGTTTCAGCTGTTCCACTTCAATCCATCTCCCTGATAATACGTCGGTGAAAGCAGCAGAAGGTGGCCCAAGTGCTCAGGCCCCTGCACCCTAACCTGAATGAAGCTCCTGGCTTCATCCTGGCGGTTGTAGGCATTTGGGAAGTGAACAAGTGATGGAAGATTCTCTCCTCTCTCTGTAACTGCCTTTCTAATAAATAAATACATCTTTTTTAAAAAAATCACCTAAAATGAGCCGTGGTGGTGACCATAGGACAGTACTGTAGGACTGCATGGCAGCAGGTCCACGCGGAATGGGATCCACAAGGAGGATGCAGCTGGCAGGGCTGAGGTGGGGAGGATGAGAGTTTAGAAGGTGAGGAAGTTGTGGGGGCTGACAGGTGACGGTGCAGCCATGTGAACATACAGAATGCCACTGTACCACTACATGCTTTAAGTCAGTTCAAATGCTTCATTGTATGTATATTTACGATGATACAAACACCAACACCACATCTGACCCAGGCAATGTTGCATAGCATAGCCACCCGGCAGGCCGCCTTTGCCTTGAGCCTCTGGAGGCCAGCAAAGTCCAGGAGTCAGACCTCAGCACTCACCGTCTGGAACACCGTCTGGGACAAGAGGCTGGCTGCCACTCTGCTGAGGTCACTGTCGCCTCCCATCTTGCAAAGGATGTAGCCATACAGGTTGGCGGCCTGGAGAGAGACGCCAGCGATGACGAGGGCCTGCACACGGATGAGGCAAAGGCAGCTCTGAGCACACATCTTGGAATGGTCCCCTCCAGCCATGCAGAAGCAGCCGCAGCACCCCGGCCTAAGAGGAACGGCCAGCCTCTCCCCAGCACGCACTCACAGATGTCTCAGTGCAAGGCAGGGAAGCTGGCAGAGGCCCCGGCCCGGGTCAGGCCCAGCCAGGTGCAGATTGCAGCAGGACTTATCCTGTGTGGGGGTCTTTTGTTCTCTGTGGAAGGGACTAGCTCCTGGAAATGAGAGGCAATGCCTCCAAAGTAAAACCTGTGGTTTCTGAAGCTGGCTTAATGCTACCCAGGGAGAACTCCTTGCCCAAGGTAGGACACCTGAGGATTTTATTTTTCTTAAAGATGTATTTAGTTATCTATTTGAAAGGTAGAGCAAGTACTTGGGCCCCTGACACCCAGATAGAGTTCCAGGCTCCTGTCTTCAATCTGGCCCCACTCTGGCTCTTGCAGGGACCTGGTAAGTTAACTAGTAAGTGGGAACTCTCCTGCTTCTCAAGTAGTAAGAGAGACCAGCAAAGTGGCATAGTGGGTAAAGCTACCACCTGTGACACAGGCACCCCATGAGGGTGCTGGTTCATGTCCCAGCTGCCATACTTCCAAACCAGTGCCCTGCTAATGGCCTAGGAAAAGCAGCAGCAGATGGCGCAAGCGCGTGGACCTCTGCCACCCATGTGGGAGACCCAGGTGAAGCTCCTGGTTTCACCTGGCCCAGACCTGACTGTTAACAACCTATCTGAGGAGTGAACTGGAAGATGGAGGGTCTCTTCTCTCTGCGCCTATGCCTCTCCAACAAATATATATCTTAAAAAAAAAAAAAATTAGGTGGAAACAACCAAATGGCCATGAGCTGACGAGTGAGAAACAGAATGTGGTTAACCTCTCAGCCATGGAGGCTACAACACACGTGACCCCCTGAAGACATCCTAGGCGAAAGAAACCTAGGACCACACATGATCCGACGGACACAGATCTCAAGAGGTCTATAAGACCAGAGGGCAGTGCCTGGGTGCCCAGGAATGTGAAGGAGTGATAACAAGGATACCCTAAAACCAACTGTGGCCACATCTGTACAGCTCAAGGGAAATGTTGACTATGAAAAGGCTGCACAGACCACAGCCATCTGGGGCTCCAGAGAAGCTTCACACACAGGCTTGGGCTTTCCATGAACTTTCTGAAAGTTGCCCTCACGCGCTCTAAACTGGCAGCCTGTGTGACAGGTGGAACGTTTCAGTCCATCCCCACCCTTCTGCTGGGTGACAGGGGCAGGGTAGCACAAAAGCTGGGGAGCCTCACCAGCCACTTGAGCCGCAGAGAGAACAAGGTGCTGAAGAAGAAGACGACCCAGATCACAGGGCAGATGACGAGACCCAGCCAGAAGATGCGGGCTTCCGCTTCTGTGGCAGCTGTGTGGCCGGGAGACACCTGGCCCAGGAAAGGAAGTTTGCTTTCAAAGCCTGTGGACACTTGGACCCCGTGGGCCTTTCCAGGGAGTGCCAGCAGCAGGGCCAGCAGGGGTCCCAGGGAGATGCTGAGTTGGGAACAGGTGGTGGGACAGGAGGTGGCCTCTGTCCTAGCTCCACTTGATTCTGCTCATCATGGGCCGCACCTTTCTGGCTTCAAAAATCCAGTGGCTCTTCCCATCTTCATCGATCTGGTTCCACCAGCGGAGGCCCACCAGGAGTCGTCCAGTAACGTTCTGAGGAACACGGACAAAAAGAGCCAGCGTCGTGCTTAGGTCAGTGAATGGAATCAAATCACACCCCACCTCACCTCCCTCCCCGTGGGGTAGATCTGTGCTGGGAATGGGGAGGAAAAAGAGGCTGAACTGTATGTAGTGGGTTTTCTAATCGGAGTCCAGGTTTGTTTGTTTCTTTTTCTTTCTTTCTTTCTTTCTTTATTTCTTTATTTCTTTTTCTTTTTTTGAGATTTATTTATTCTTATTGGAAACTCAGATATGCAGAGAGGAGAGACAGAGAGGAAATCCTCCATCTGGTGATTCACTCTCCAAGTGGCAGCAAGAGCTGGAGCTGAGCCAATCTGAAGCCAACAGCCCAGGAGCCTCTTCTGGGTCTCCCACGCGGGTGTAGGATCCCAAGGCTTTGGGCTGTCCTTGACTGCTTTCCCAGGCCATAAGCAGGGAGCTAGATAGGAAGCGGGGCTGCTGGGATTAGAACCAGCGCCCATATGAGATCCCAACATGTGCAAGGGGAGGACTCTAGCCATAAGGCTACTGTGCCAGACCCAGAGTCCAGGTTTCTAAGCTTATGTTAAAAAGCAGCAGATATAATCCCCCATATGTGTTTTAAATGTCTGGTTTCTATATAGTAGGTCACATGTAGATTTTGTAATAAGTCGTAGCCAGGGTGGGTAGTGTTGGCACAGTGAGTTAAACTACTGCCTGGGACACGTGCCTCCCACACTAGGGTGCCCATGTCCAGCTTCCTGCTGATGCACAGAGGAAGCAGGGGGTGATGGTCCCAGTGCTTTGGGTTCCTGCCCCTCAGCAGGGAGGCCCAAATGGAATTCTGAACTGTTTTCAACCTAGTCCAGCCCCAGGTATTGTAGGCATTTGGGGAGTGAAGCAGCAATTGGAAAACTTCTCTCTGTGTATATCTGTCCGTCTCTACCTTTAAGACAAGTAGACTTTAAAAAGTCTTTAACAAGGGCCCGGCGCGGTGGCGCGGTCCTCGCCTTGCACGCTCGGGATCATGTGGGTGCCAGTTCTATCCCGGCAGCCCCGCTTCCCTTCCTAGCTCCCTGCCTGTGGCCCAGGAAAGCAGTCGAGGACGACCCAGAGCTTTGGGACCCTGCACCTGCATGGGAGACCCGGAAGAGGCTCCTGGCTTCGGATCGGCATAGCATCGACCCGTTGCGCTCACTTGGGGAGTGAATCATCGGACGGAAGATCTTCCTCTCTGTATCTCCTCTCTGTATATCCGCCTTTCCAATAAAAAATAATAAAAATAAATCTTCAAAAAAAAAACCGATTTGTTAAAAAAAAAAAAAAGTCTTTAACAAGTAACTCTAAGTGGGCCTGGCACAGTAGTGTACTGGCTTGGGTCTTTGCCTTGCACACGCCAGGATCCCATATAGGCGCCAGTTTGTGTCTTGGCTGCCCTGCTTCCCATTCAGCTCCCAGCTTGTGATCTGGGAAAGCAAGGCCTTGGGAACTTGAACCCCATATGGAAGACCCAGAAGAGGCTCCTGGCTTCAGATTGGTTCAGCTCTAGCTTTTGCGGCCGCTTGGGGAGTGAATCATCGGATGGAAGGTTTTTCTCTCTGTCTCTCCTCTCTGTATGTCTGCCTTTCCAATAAAAATAAATAAGTCTTTAAAAAATATTACTCTAAGCCACATAGGGTTGTCACTTTCATTTGAGGTGCCTGTATGTCCTGGCAAGCCACTTACTGAATGCTAAATAGTACATTCCTCCAGCTAATTTTAAGTGACTCCAGCCATCTTCTTGGGGCTGTTACCAGCAGCTGAACTGCAGTGACCACTTTCTGGGAATGATAGCTACGTGTCTGGGGCAGATGTGACATCCCAAAAGAAAGGGACCTCACCTTCACGGACCAGAAGTCGAAGGACAGAAGGAGCAGCACAGTGACAAAGCAGCCCACGAAGCTCCTGCTGAACCAATCACAACACACGTAGGTGACGATGGCACTGACTCGGAAAAACAGGTGGAAAAAGGTGGCCAGGGGGTGCCTAGGAGACAGTGAGGGGGCTGTCATATCCCCAGGCCTGCATGCCAGTCCTCCTGGGGAGGTGACCTTGCTCTCCTCCCCCTCAAAGAACCCAGTACTTTCCCCTCCTGAGACTCCAAATACCACCTCACCCTCTCGAGAACTGTGATCCCCTTTGAATTGAAATGTGACAGCTACCACTGCCTCACCACCTCAGGATGGCGACCAGTTCCCTAAAGGAAAAGGTTGGGTCATTCCACGGTTGATGGGCATGTGTACAGCTCCCAAGCCTCGTGGCACTGGGGAGTCCCCATTCCTGGAGAGCGGGGAAGGCTCTGGACCTGTGCATGGCAGCTCTCAGCGTTCCCATCTCTGCGGTCGGTGGCACGTGCGTGCTGACGGTTCATCCAGGGGAAGGTGCCCTCCTCACTGACCTGGAAGGAGTGTGCCAGCCATTCCCACACCACTTGCTTTGCCTCTTTTTCCTAGTGAATCTGCAAAACCACAGAGCCCAGGGTACACTGTTTGAAAAGACTCACTGATTGGTCGGGGGCAGACAGCAAACACCGACAGGGGCCAGGTAGGTGACAGCAGGGGAGGACATATGTGGCTTTCTGTTTCTTTTGTCGGTATCTGAATTGCCACAGCACATATCCACTTAGTGCTAGGTAGCAATTTAATTACATCTCATCTCCAGGGTGGGGAGAGTGGCTGTTGTACAGTGGGCTAAGATGCCACCTGCAACACGTGCATCCTGTGGGAGCACTGGTTCAAGTCCCCACTGCTCTTCTTCGGGCTAGCCTAGGTTTTACTCGTAGCTCTAGCCCAAGTGGCTTCGTGGCCTTTCCTATGAGACATGACCTTGGCACCTCAGTCTCCCCTTCTGTGAAAGCAGAATGCTGATAGGGCCCACTTCCTAGGAAGTGAAAAGCCTGGAGCAGGGGTGGCACAGCCCCTGGTGACGCCCCCCTGCTGCAGTCCTGGGGGAAGTGGCCTTAGCTCCACCTCAGCATCACTCGAAGCAGCTGCATTGGAGGGAGCTGAAATGTAAAATTCCCCGCTCTGACCACAACTTTCTCTCTCATGACCAAGGCAGGCACCTCCTTTTCACCTTGGTGGGGATCCCCAAAGACTCCTGATCCTACTGCATTTCCCAGCTAAACCTTCACATTCAACACTGACATATGGTAGTTTCTTGCTCAGAATCCAACGTTTTCCCCACCAGAGGAGGGCCTGGTGAGAGCCCACCAACTCAGGGAGAAGGAAAAAAAATGACACCACTGTTGAAAAAGGGAAATGAAACCACAAGTGCCGAAAGGTGGAGCGAATGCAGCGGGCTTTTGTTGTAAGATTTTTTTTCCCCCTATTTTAAAATCCATTCGTACAGACCTTTTCTTTTTCTTTTTTGGGGAAAGTAGATAAAGATCTTCTGCCAACTAGTTCAGTCCTCAAATGCTCACAGCCCCATGAGCTGCTGGGCCAAGCAGGAACCAGGAGCGGGGGGACTCAATCCGGGCCTCATGTCCAGGGGTGGCCAAGAGCCTGGCCCTCGTACCATCGTCTGTGGCCTTCCAGGGTGTGCCATTGGCAGGAAGCTGGATCAGAAGCAGAGGCAGAACTGGAATGTGGGATGTGAGCATCGGAAGCGATTCCACCACTGCTCCGAGCACTTCCCCCACCTGCACAGCTGCTGCCTCCCCTACTCCACCAAGCGCTGTCTCCAGTCACGCACGGGCACCAGGAGTTCAAATGTGGGGTGGGTCCTGGACAGAGGCAAAGCCCACTTCCACAACAGCTTCAGCAAGCTATCACTCCAGGGCCAAGTCCCACCCACTTGCCTACTTTACAAATAAAGTTTTTTTGGAACACGGTAACAGTAGTCTACTCAATAGCCCTAGCCAGCAAAGCTGAAAAATCTACTCAGAAAGCATATCAGGAGGGGTGATCTGGTGATGAAATTGAGCCACATTCAAAGCAAACTACTGGCTTCCACATCTCACAAAAGCTAGAAATTGTGTGTGTCAGGGGGTGGCAGAGTGAACCCACAGACTACGCTAGAAACCAGGCTGAAGTGTCCCAGGGTGGGTATTGGGCTCATGGCTGGGAAGGGGCATAAGGGAAACTTCCAGATGCTGGGAAGTCTTCACATCTTGACATTATACATACATTTGAGTAAAAGAAAAAATATTCATCAAACCATCCACTTAAAATCATTACACTTTATCCTCTTGTGCTAACCTCAGGGTTTTTTTTTTTAATATTTCCTGTTCAAAGCCACTGACCAAAGACAAATCTTTGCAAGTCACTATGAGAACTCTTCATGTGACAAACCTAGCAGCCACGCTGCTTAGTGTTGACCCAGATGAGCTCTGTCAGGCCTGCAAAGTGATACTGCCTGTGCTTTATTTGTTCCTGTTGGCCAGGTGTCAGACAACGTGATCATATATCGATAGGGAAACAGGCAAACTTCCAGATACAACTCAACGATAAAGAGAGGTGCTATGAAGCCATAGAAAAGGTGTGGAGGAAACTTGAACTTAGCATCTGCTAAGTGAGAGAGGCCTATCTGAGAAGGATGGGGGTGACTCCAGCTATGGAACATTCTGGAAGACACAAAACTAGGCAGTCCCGGGGGGTTAGGGTGGGGTGAGGGTTTGGGGGTAATGATACCGTTCTGTGTGACCCTGCAGTGACAGATACCGGTCACTAGGGGTCCAACACTGAGAGGGAACCCTCATGTCAACTGTGGACTTCAGCCAGCAATAACATTGGGCCCATCTGTTGTCACAGATGTCCCATGTAATGCAGGACAGTAGTGGGATGAGGCTGATGGGAATCTCCACACTTTCTCCTCCATTTTTTCTATAAACCTAAACCTGCTGTGGAATGAGAACCACAGAGGGTATAAAGGTGGGTGACACCAGTTGGAGGTGGGGGATAGGAATAGACAGGGTCTTCAGAGCTACGAGGGAGACAGGCAGGAAACACTATCTAAAGATGCCTCTGTCCTCTTCCCACAGAGCTCTACAGCAGGCTTAAGGAGAAGCAGCTCGTTCATTCTAATGCAGCCGTGATCTAAATGATGAGAGTTACTCTTGGCACGGGCTTCTAGGCTAAGTTACACTGACTGTGATGCCCACGTCCCCCATCCCAGTGCCTGGGATGGATAGACAAATAGATTTATTTATCTATTTACTTACTTGTTCGAAAGCAGATCAGATATACAAAGAAAGATCTTCTGTCCGCTGGCTCACTCCCCAAATGGCCACAACAGCTGGAGCTGAGCTTATCTGAACCCAGGAGCCTGGGGCATCTTCTGGGTCTCCCACATGGGTGCAGAGTCCCAAGGCTTTGGGCCATCCTCTGTGGCTCTCCCAGGCCATTAGCAGAGAGCTTAGTACGAAATGGAGTAGCGGGGACAAGAAGGGTGTCCATGTCGGATCCTGGCGCTTGTAACATGAGGATTTAGTCATTGAGCCATCATACTGGGCCCGGTGCCCGAGTTTAAGTCCCAGCTGCACTCGCCATTCCAGTTGCCTGCTGATGTACACTCTGAGGCGGCAGATCTTGGCCCAAGGACTTGGATCACTGCCACCCATGAGAGACCCACATTCCTGGCTCCTAGTTTCAGCTTGGCCCCGCCCTGGCCATTGTAGGTATTTGGGGACTGAACCAGTGGGTAGGAGCTCTGGCTGTCTATCTCTACCTTTCAAATAAATATTCGATAAAATGTTTAAGTTGTGGGACCATCAAGATGGTTCAATTGGCTAATTCTCTGTCTGTAATCAACAGTTTCCCATATGGGTGCCAGTTTGGGTCCTGGTTGCTCCTCTCTCCATTCATCTCCCTCCTGTGGCCTGGGAAAGCAATAAAGGATGGCCCAAAGCCTTGGGATCCTGTACCCCATGAGAGAGAGAGAGCTGGAAGAGGCTCCTGGCTCCAGGTTTCAGATTAGTTTAGCTGTGCCTATTTGCAGCCATTTGGGGAGTGAATCAGCAGATGGAAGATCTTTCTGTCTCTCCTTCTCTCTGTAAAGCTTTTCAATAAAAATAAATCTTAAAAAAAAAAAACCCAGAAGTTTTCATTATAAACTACTAAATAAAGAACACTCATCCTAAACCATACTCTAAATTCTCAATCTTTTAGTCTCTCTGAAGAGTTTAATACCTTTCCATTAAGTAAGAGTCTGGCCCCCTCAAAAACAGCATCTGGGGCCTGCAGCATCAGCATTGTACCAGGGCACTGGTTCACGTCCCAGCTGTTCCACTTTCCCTCCAGCTCCCTGAAAATTGCCACGGAAAGGAGCAAAAGATTGCCCAAGTCCTTGGACTCCTGCACCCAAATTGGTGAGCTGGAAGACGCTCCTAGCTCCTGGCTTCAGATTGGCCCATCTCTTGTTGTTGTGGTCATTTGGAGAGTGAAACAGTGAATTGTAGGTCTCTCTTTCTGTCTCTCCTTCTCTGTAATTCTGCCTTTCATACAAAACTAAATAAATCCAAAAAGAAAATAGCAGCCAAGCTAATGTCTAAAATTGACTCCCAAATAATCCTGGGGTGGGATTGCACAGGGGGTACAAATGAAACGGGTGGGTCCTGCATGGACCATGCGGAAAGCAGGCAGGCAGAACACCTGGCTGCCCAGTCTCTGTACTTTTATGTAAATCTGAGCTAAAAAGTAGAGGAAAAAGGTGCTCAAGAGGCACTGTTAGCTGGCAATGAGGCAAGACGGCTTTCTGGACAAACCAAGCCCACGGACTGATATTCTGGGTGCCTCGCAGGCCCATCTGTGGTTTAAAAAAACAACAAAAAATATTAAGACCTAAAAAAATCCCCAACTGAGTAACTGGCCACTATAGCTGGATGCATGAGGAAAATTCCAGAAGCCAGGTCCTTTCTGCTGAGCTTCCAGGTCCTTTCAGCTGGAAAGTGTGATGCAGGGAAAGCCAGAGACTGCATGTGTGCATACCTGCCCCGCCCTTGCAAGGCTCACAGCCTTGGATGAGCCACTCTGCTAACCTGGAGC